TGAACATCTACCCCCTGGTGGTCAGTGCACATCATAGCAACTGGTCAGATAAAGGGAGGGACACTTAGCATATTAGCTATATATATATATATATATATATATATATATATATATATATATATATTTGATATCTCAATTCTCTAACTTTATTTTTTTTATTAAATTATTATCTGTGTACATATCTTACCATTCCCCCCACCCCATTCATACCCTCCCTCCCCAGAGTTTTGTGTCCATTGGTTGTACTTATATGCATGCATACAAGTCCTTCGGTGATTTCTTATCTCCCCCAGATCTCCTTACGCTTCCCACTGTAATTTGACAGTCTGCTTGTTGCTTTACTGTCTCTATATCTAACTTTTGGTTCATCAGTTTATAATGCTCTTTATTATCCATAAATGAGTGAGGTCATGTGGTGTTTCTCTTTCATTGACTGGCTTATTTCACTCAGCATGATGTTCTCCAATTCCATCCAGGTTGCTGCAAATGATGAGAATTCCTTATTTTTTATGGCAGCATAGTATTCCATTTGTGTAGATGTACCATAGTTTTTTGATCCAATCATCTGCTGATGGGCACCTAGGCTATTTCTAAATCTTAGCTATTGTAAATTGTGCTGCTATGAACATAGGAGTGCATATATCCTTTCTTATTGGTGTTTACAGTTTCTTGGGATATATTCCTAGGAGTGGGATTACTGGGTCAAATGGGAGTTCCATTTTCAGTTTTTTGAGGAAACTCCATACTGTTCTCCACAGTGGTTGCACCAGTCTGCATTCCCACCAGCACGAGGGTTCCTTTGTCTCCACAACCTCGCCAGCACTTGTCATTTGTTGATTTGTTGATGTTGGCCATTCTGACAGGTGTGAGATGGTACCAAATTTTTGTTTTGATTTGCATCTCTTGGATAATTAGTGACTTTGAGCATTTTTTATGTGCCTTTTAGCCTTCCTTTTGTCTTCTTTTGAAAATATTCTATTTAGGTCCATTGCCCATTTTTTAATTGGATCATTCATCTTCCTTTTATTTAGTTGTATAAACTGTCTGTAGATGTTGGAGATTAAACCTTTATCAGTGGTAACATTTGCAAATATGTTCTCCCATACAGTGGGCTTTCTTGTTTTGTTGATAGTTTCTTTTGCTGTAAAGAAACTTTTTATTTTGATGTAGTCCCATTTGTTTATTTTCTCTTTAGCTTCCATTGCCCTAGGGGCAGTATCAGTGAAGAATTTCTTTTAGCATATGTCTGAGATTTTGCTGCCTGTGGATGCCTCTAGTATTTTTATGGTTTCCTGTCTTTAAGTCCTGTATCCATTTTGAGTTTATTTTTGTGTATGGTGTAAGTAGATGATCAAGTTTCATTCTTTTGCATGTATCTGTCCAATTTTCCCAGCACCATTTATTGAAGAGACTGTCTTGACTCCATTGTATATTTGTACCTCCTTTGTCAAATATTAATTGAGCATAGTGATTTGGGTTGATATCTGGGTTCTTGATTCTATTCCATGATCTATATGTCTGTTTTTTTGTGCCAGTACCAGGCTGTTTTGAGAACAGTGGCTTTGTAATACAGCTTGAAATCTGGTATTGAGATCCTTCCTACTTTACTCTTCTTTCTCAGTATTGCTGTGGCTATTCGGGGTCTTTTATTGTTCCAAATGAACTTTGGAGAGTTTTTTCCAGGTCAGTGAAATATGTCATTGGTATTTTAATGGGGATTGCATTGAACCTATAAATTGCTTTAGGAAGTATGGACATTTTGATGATGTTGATTCTACCATGATGTTGAACATGGTATGTTCTTCCATCTGTTTACATCTTCCTCTATCTCTTTTTTTCAGTGTCGTATAGTTTTCCGCATATAGGTCCTTTACTACCTTAGTTAAGTTTATTCCTAGGTAACTTAATTTTTTTTGGTGCGATGGTAAATGGAATTGCTTTTTGAGTCTCTGTTTCTGTAAGTTCACTGTTGGTGTATAGAAATGCCATAGATTTCTTGGTGTTAATTTTGTATCCTGCTACATTGCTGATTTCACTTATTAAGTCAATTAGTTTTTTAATGGAGTCTTTTGTTTTTTTTATGTACAATATCATGTCATCTGCAAATAAGGATAATTTTACTACTTCTTTTCCAATTTAGAAGCCTTTTATTTCCTATTCTTGTCTAATTGCAATGGCTAGTACTTCCAGTACTATATCAAACAGGAGTGGTGAGAGTGGGCATCCTTGTCTTATTCCTGTTCTTAGAGGGAATGGTTTCAGTTTTTGCCCATTGAGTATGATGTTGGCTGTGGGTTTATCATATATACCTTTTATTATGATGAGGTATGATCCTTGTACTCCCACCGTGTTGAAAGTTTTTATCAGGAAAGAGTGTTGGATTTTATCAAATGCTTTTTCTGCATCAATTGATATGACTATATGATTTTTATCTTTCAGTTTGTTTATGTGATGTATCACGTTTATTGATTTGTGGATATTATACCATCCTTGCATTCCTGGAATAAATCCTGCTTGGTCATGGTGTATGATCTTTCTGATATTCTGCTGGAGCCGATTTGCTAGAATTTTGTTGAGGATTTTGGCATCTATGTTCATGAGGGATATTGCCCTGTAATTCTCTTTTATTGAGTTGTCTTTATCTGGTTTTGGTATTAGGGTGATGCTGGCTTCATAGAAGGAGTTTGGAAGTGTTCCTTTCTCTTGAATTTTTTGGAATAGTCTGAGGAGTGTTGGTTTCAGTTCTCCCTTGAATATTTGGTAAAACTCTCCTGTGAAGCCATCTGGCCCTGGACTTTTGTTTGCTGGAAGCTTTTTGATGACTGCTCTATTGAGCTTTTTAGATTCTTCCTGATTGAGTTTTGGAAGGTTGTATTTTTCTAGGGATATGTCCATTTACTCCAGGTTGTTCAGTTTGTTGGAATAGAGTTGTTTGTAGTATTTTGTAACAATCCTTTGTATTTTGGTGGGGTCTGTTGTTATTTCACCTCTTTCGTTTCTGATTTTGTTTATTTGAGTCCTCTCTTTTTGTTTCTTGCTTAGCCTGGCTAGAGGTTCATCAATCTTGTTTATCCTTTCAAAGAACTAGCTCTTGGTTTTGTTGATCTTATGTATTGTTTCTTTGGTCTCTATGTTGTTTATCTCTGCTGTGATTTTTATTATTTCCTTCCTTCTGCTTATACTGGGCTTTTCTTGTTGCTGTTTTTCTAACTCTTTGAGTTGTAGAGTTAGAAAATTTGTTACCATTTTTTCTTGTTTTTTTTTTGCAGTAGGCTTGTAGAGATATGAACTTCCCTCTCAAAACTGCTTTTGCTGAGTCCCATAGATTTTGGATTGTTGTGTTTTCATTGTCATTTGTTTCTAGGATGTTTTTAATTTCTTCCTTGATTTCTCTGGTAACCCAGTCCTTGTTTAATAGCATGTTGTTTAGTCTTCATGTGTTTGATTTCTTTGGATTATTTTTATTGTAGTTAATTTCCAGTTTTATGCCACTATGATCTGAGAAGAAGCTTGATATGATTTCTATCTTCTTGAATTTGAAGAGACTTTGCCTATGTACCAACATGTAGTCTATCTTTGAAAATGACCCATGTGCACTTGAGAAGAATGTATATTCTGTCACTTTGGGGTGGAATGTTCTGAAGATGTCGATTAATTCCATCTGGTCTAGTGAGTCATTTAGGATTGATATTTCTTTGCTGATTTTTTGTTTAGCTGATTTGTCCAAAGGTGACAGTGGGGTATTAAAATCTTCTACTATGATTGTATTACTATTAATCTCTCCCTTAATGTCCTCCAGCAGTTTTGGTTTTTTTTTTGTGTGTGTGTGTCTTGTAGACAACAGATATATGGGTCTTGTTTTCTTATCCAATCTGTTACCCTATGTCTTTTGATTGGAGCATTTAATCCATTTACATTTAAAGATATTATTGATAGGTACTCATTTGACGCCATTTTTGTTATATACCCCTGTGTTCCTTCTTTGCTTCCTATTTCTTTATTTTTACAGTAGACCCTTTAGCATTTCTTGCATTGCTGGTTTGGTGGAGAGAAATTCCTTTAGTCTTTTTTTGTCTGTGAAGCTCCTGATTACACCTTCAATTTTGATTGATAACCTTGCTGGGTACAGTATTCTTGGATTCAGACCCTTCCTTTGCATGACTTTGTATATTTCATCCCATTCCCTTCTGGCCTGATGAGTTTTTGTTGAGAAATCAGTTGCTAGTCTGATGGGGGTTCCTTTATATGTAACTTTCTGTTTGTCTCTGTCTGCTTTTTAGATTCTTACTTTGTCGTTGGTGTTTGCCAATTTAATTATAATGTGCCTTGGCATCGGTCTTCTGGGATTCATTTTGCTTGGGACTCTGTGAGTTTCTTGGATTTGTGTGGCTTTTTTCTTCTCTATTTCAGGAAAGTTTTCTGTCATTATTTCTTGAAATATGTTTTCCATGTCTTCCTCAGTTTCCTTTCCTTCTGGAACCCCTATTATTCTAATATTGTTTTGTTTTGTATTCTCCCAAAGTTCCCTTAGGCTCTCCTCCTGATTTTTAATTTTGTTTTCCCAGAAGCTGCTCTAATTGGCTATTTTTTTTCATCTTGTCTTCTAGCTCACTGATGCGGTACTCATGTGCGGGCTATTTCTTTGGCTCTCCATGGTCTCTCTTTTCAAGATGTCTGGTTATGTGGTTTTCCTTCTCCTTCACGATGTCCACCAGCCAATCAGGAATGACTATGCAAATTAACCCAATAAAGATGGATGGTTAATTTGCATATGCAGGCACTAAGTGGCCAATGGCAGGGTGATTATGCAGGCTTTCTGCACTGCCTCTGCAGCTCCAGGCCCCTGAGCAGTGTTGGGAAGACGAAAAGGCAGCTCCTGGCCGGAGCGAAGGCATTGCCGGCCCATGTATATATATATATATAATGTTTGGATATGAAAAAATTTAAATTTTTGTCCCAATTACTTCATTTTTAGATGTACTTAAATTTATCTATTTTAGGTGGCCTGCCTGATTCGAGTTCCTTCTGAAGTAGTTAAGCAGAGGGCACAGGTTTCTGCTTCTTCAAGAACTTTTCAGATTTTCTCTAACATCTTATATCAAGAGGTGAGATATGTTTTTAAGTTCTTTTTTTTTTCTTTATTGAGAGAGATTTTATAGTAGCTAGTATGAGCACTGGGAGTCTTGTATCAGGAGTCTAGAAGTGACCTTACAGCTGAATTTAATGTCCAATTGCAGTAACTTTCTGTGTTAAGATTATAGTTTTCTTTCCTGTATTTGTTTTTGGATTTTTTAAAAAAAAAACAAACAAACATATATTGAGTGCCTCTACTGTGTAAGTCCTACATTGTAATCTTCCATAGTTCTTTTGGAATCAGACATGTAATAAATAGTAAATATGTAGACCGGATGAAGATATATGAAAACATCACTACAGAATCTGAGGGCTCATGGAAGAGAAGTGTAGTAATGGACTGTCACCAACATCATAGTGTTTATATCAACTGTAATCTTCTTTTACTGGTTAGTGTTAAGCTGTGGATCAGGAGTCATCCGATTGTCCATGGGATTAGGAGCAGTTGTGCTGCTTTCCTTCATAGTTCCTACTTTAAAAAGTTAACTTAAAAATTTTTTTTTTACCCAAGTCAATTACATGGAAATTTCAATGAGTCTAGATTGTAGAAAAGTTATTCATAATGGTCTCTGTGTCTCCTTGAGGAGATGCGAGTGTTTAATATTATGAGTGAGATCAACCCAGTAGAGGGTCCCTGAAGAATCATGTAGACGTGAAATAGATAAGCGAAGGCTTGTCCAGAGGTTATTAATGAACTGATGTCTTCTGATTGAAACCATGAAAAGATAATCAACATTTTATGTGCATTTGCTTTTGGGAATCTATTTATTTAAAGCTCAAGTATTCTCAACAGAAGAAATACTGAAAGCAACTAAAGCTGAATTAATATGTTGTCAGTTTTCTTATTAGAGATATTTCAATTTTGAAGGAGTGGAGCAGTTAGAACCTTTAACTTCTTGCAGAACTGTGGTCATTGTGGACGTTTTAAAACTAAAATTTTAGGAAAGGTTACTGTGCTTTATTCAGAATGTGATCCTAAAATCTCTACCATCCCATCTTTCCTTTTGTTTCAGGGCATCCCAGGATTGTATCGAGGCTACAAAAGCACAGTTTTAAGAGAGGTAACTAACTTAATTTCCAGTATTGAAGTACAAAAAAACAATATGCTTTGTTCTGTAACTTTACTTGGAGGAACTGGTTTAAAAAGTTAAAAAGGGAAATTAAGATCTCTTATTTTTTACTTTTTACTTAAATATGAGTGGCCCAGTGCACGAAATTTGTATACATTAAAAGGGAATTAATTATAGGAAGTACTTTAATATTGCTATTTTCCCTTTATCTATAATAGAAGTGTCAGAGATGAAAGAAAATTAGTAAAATGTATCTGAAAATCTCCCACCTGTCAGAGTCTGGGACGTGCCACAGGAGCTAGAGTCAAGTCCCCACCTACCATCCACATGCGCTTTGAAAACGCAGGGGACCCAGACCCAGCTGGTCCCCTCTACCCTGTCAAGCCCCTCCAGGCAGGGGCCACAGCCTCAGACCCCCCAACCTGGCACCAAGTGGGGGATAGCCTCAAGTCCCCCTGCCCAGCACTGGGTGGGGGACGCAGTCTCAGGTCCCTTGTCAAGCCCCACCAGGGGGGGCGCAACCTGAGGTCTCCTGTCAAGCCCCTCTGGGTGGGGGCCACAGCCTGAGGTCCCCTGGCCTGGCACTGGGGTGGGGGGGACATGGCCTGAGGTCCCCTGTCAAGCTTCGCTGGGCAGTGGGCATGGCCTGAGGGACCCCGTCAAGCTCTATTGGGCAAGGGGCATGGCCTGAGGTCCCCCATCAAGGCCCAATGGGCGAGGGGCACCGCCTGAGTCTCTGTCAAGTCCTGCCAGGTGAGGGGCATGGCCTGAAGGTCTCTCACCCTGGCCAGGTGCCATACAGCCTCAGGTTCCTGCTGTTCAGTTGTGATGTTATGGAATCCCAGCTAATTTGCATATTTCTATTATATAGGTAGATATATTTTTATCAATTTCAGAGAGAAAGGGAGAGGGAGAGAGAGTTAGAAACATCAATGATAAAAGAGAATTATTGGTTGGCTGCCTTCTGCATGTCCCCTACTGGGGATAAAACCTGCAACCTGGGCATGTGTCCTTGACTGAAATCGAACCTGGGATCTGTCAGTCCACAGGCTGACACTCTATCCACGAGCCAAACCAGCTAGGGCTAAGATCTCTTTTTAAAATACTCTTTAGTCTTGTCTTGGTTCTTACATGCAATAAATGGGTCAAATGAATTGGTTTGCTGAACGACTACCCTGTAGCTTCATGGTAATCCTAGAGTGGTGAGTATTTGCTGTAGCTGAAATATTGGGAATTAACTACAGAGGGTGAGATATTAAGTTAGTACACAGCATTTGTGAGAAATTGGTCAGGAAAGTTGCACTTGGAGAGATAAGTGTCTGAAAAGTCTGTATCATACAGTTAGTTCTTATTTTCCTGGTAACAATCTGATAAGCTGGGAAGTGTACTCTGGCCTGGAGTCCTGACCCACAAGCCATTTTATCCCCTGTGCCTTCTCCCTCTAAAATCCCATGATTCAATGTGGTCAATTTCTTGTACCTCTTCCCGCCCACCCCCACCCCGTTTTTGTTTTGTTTTTTTAAAGCCGAGTGATTTCAGTATATTACTGCTGGAGGCATGTTTTAATTTCTGCCTTATATAAAGGGGCTGTTTGAAGTTTAAAAGTTGATTTATAGATATGAAAGATATGTCTTTGGGACATAATTTTGGTTTCTTTTTAAATGAGCTTAAATCTTATGGTTTCCCCTAAGCTTTATTGAAATAGAATTGACAAATAGGTTTATAAGGCATTTAAAGTGTACAACATAATGATTTCATATTTGTATAACTATGAACAGGATTGGGACATAATTTTCATTAAGGAAAACACAGAAGAGCATCTGCCTACATCTGCTCCATTTTCTTGTTTTCTGTTTGGTGTTCCTTAGATGCTAAAACACTTTCACCTCTGAAATGGTTTTTAATTTAAATAAATATTGTCGTCACAGCAGAATACTGAAATTCCCCTTCAAAGCCCTAAGTTTATTCCTAGGTAGGTGTTTTGTTTTTTTAAATACTATAGTTAGTGATTTTTTATCTCATGGTACACATAAACTAATTATTAAAATTCTGCAGCACACCAAAATGTTTTTTGCCAATCAGACAAAAAACAAAAACCAGGTATAATTTTGATTCATTCACCAGACAGCTATTGTTGTGTTGGCTGTTGTCATTTTTAAATTTGACAACTTAAGGGAGAAAAAGTCAGTGCCCCTGACTAAAGAGTTTGGTATTGCATGTTTTAAAAATTCTCGCGGCACACAGGTTAAAAATCGCTGCTACAGATTAGTCTTCTTTATGAAACACCTGTACTGTTATTTAAAGCTTTGTTGTAGGTGATGTATGTCTTTGAAAACTTTCTTTGAAAGCAAACTGGATGTTTCAAAATTAGTCATTTGTGTGAAGATGACTTCTTTCTGCCTTTCAAAAATATCTCCTGTACCACACCTTCCTTCTGTTCTTAGGCTCTGACTTAGTAAACATGAGCTAGCTACTCAGGTTTCACCGGGTGCAGGGGAAGGGTGGGAAGTGGGGGGGAGTGAGCCTTTTTATTTTTCTGAATAAATAAATTATTATTTACATGCCAGACAATACTGTTTTCATATTCAAACAAATAGAACACATGGTTACAACTGCATTCCGTTCTTTTAAAAACTTGTTTTGACATATGCCACACTGGTAATTAATTTCTAAGCTACGATTCTTGCAAATAATGTGACCTGCCGAGATAGCTCTGTTTACTCAAATAGTAGCGCTTTGCTGGAAATGTAATTGGGGTCTTTGCATTATGCGTGTTCATGAAAGAGCCTTCAGAACTGATTTTAGGTGAAGCATCGCTTAGAACAGATTCCCTGATAGAACTAGAGAATTATTATTAAATGAAACGTAGCTTCTTTTCAAAATGGGGAAAATAAGTGACACTTGCATTAAGCAGAATTTATGCATGATGGATAGTTTCAGTGCTTACATTGTTGTGACATCAATATCATATTTTTTTGCCAAGAATGCCGTTGATGGTGTCAGTAAGAAAATGCACTGAAGCCTTAGTGAGAATCACCAGGAAACTTACACATTCATTCTGGGTACAACTTCTCCTTGAAAGTAGTTTATCTCCCTAGCAGGAGCCCTTTAGAAGGAGATGGAAGTTTGAACCCGTGCATTATAAAATAAGAGTGTGTGTTCTTTAGGTTTTGTGAATGCTGTCACCTGTTTTTGTTTTTGTTTTACCTCATCTGATGTTTGTGCAGATTGCTGGCTTATCCTTTATGTGCTCCTAAATTATTTTAGTTACTGTGAATTTTAGTCTTAGTCTAAGCAAGGTCAACAAATTATGCTACTTCCTTTGAGTAGTTGTTTTCCTCATGATCTTGGCCGAATTAGCTGTGGCCAGGCACTGTGGGAGTCTTCCTCCAACCTTGGCGGCCGGCATGCTGTCAGGGAACGTTCTTAATCTTTGTAGAAGCTTCTTCACACTGTCAGGTACCAGGGCTCTGCCTTCCAGTGTGAACTTAGTCACCACAACAACAGTGAGGTGTCCTGGTCCTTTTTCTTTAACTCCCTCTTTATAGTGTGCCTTCTGTTGGTCCTTTCAGCCACATTCAGTTAACAGCTCAGCCGTGCTGAAGCATTCTCTCTCCAGTTTCTGTCCGCTTTGGTTAATGGCTGCTCTTCTGTGCCTCTTGGTTCATCTTGCTAACTGATCACCATCACTGGGGGTGAGGGCCGTCCCTTCCCAGAGATGAAATGACCTTTGTACTGACGACCTTACCTACTGCTCGCTTCACTCTGTCTTTTCAGGTGCAGAAATTAGCATTCTGATTGGAAAGTTCACTTGCAAGTAGATTTGGAAGCTTTCCAAAGTTAGTTACGCTTAAAGTCTACTTGAGTTAGTCACAGTTTCCCCTAATCTAGTGTCTGGGAACAGGAACCTTTTGAAATCAAGATTGAAGGGTTGTCCGTTAGCATCTCTTTTCCAGCTCTGTTGTCTACCCAGAGTTCCTTTCCCCCGAACTCTTCATGCTATACAAGGTGGGCAAAAGTAGGTTTATAGTTGTTTGTATGGGACATAATACAATAATTAATAAGTAATGAAAATATAAGAATAAATTGTGTTTTGCATATTCCCAACTGTAGGCCTTATGTGTTTTTCTAGAACCACTCTATCCTAGGTGTTCTGCATCTTGTTTATTTTCTTAGCCAAACCATTTTGGAGATCACTTCATAATGAGGATCCTCTCCTATCATGTCTGCAAGTCAGTAAGTGTGACATACACATAAACTAAATGAAGGATAAAAACCACATCATAGCAATAGACGCAGAAAAAGCATTTGACAAAACTCCAGCACCTATTTATGACAAAAATGCTCAGCAAAGTGGGAATAGAGGGAACATACCTCAACATAATAAAGGCCACATATGGCAACCCACAGCCAACATAATACTCCACGGGCAAAAACTAAAGGCGTTTTTCTTAAAATGGGGAACAAGACAGGGATGCCTGCTTTCACCACTCTTATTCAACATTGTATTAGAAGTTCTAGCCACAGCAATCAGATAAGAAGAAAAAATAGAGGTCATCCAAATTGGATAGGAGGAAATAAAACTGTCATTATTTGCAGATGACATGATATTGTACATAGAAAATCCAAAAGCCTTCACCAGAAAGTTACTAGATATAATAAATGAATTGGGCAAAGTAGCAGGATACAAAATTAATACTCAGAAATTGATGGCATTTCTATACACCAATGATGAACTATTAAAAAGAGAAACTAAGAAAACAATACCATTTACTCTTGCAATAAAAAAATAACAAGGTACCTAAAAATAAATTTAACCAGGGTGGTAAAAGACCTGTACATGGAAAACTATAGGACATTGAATAAAAACATTGAGGAAGATACAAATAATTGGAAGCATATACCATGTTCATGGATTGGAAGAATTACCATCATTAAAATGTCCATACTATCCAAAGCAACCTATAGGTTCAATGCAATTCCTATTAAAA